AGGAAAATTTGCATTATTTTAAAAAAATAAAAAACAGGGCTTTGAAAAAATTAATATTTGGATTAAAGATCATCTATCTGGAATTCATGATAAAATGTTGGCTCTAACTTTATTTTTGTTTTTCCAATTGGAGTACCAGTATGCCACAATACTTCTTTTCCCCACTGATTTAATAAGCTTTAGTTATCACATGTAACTTTTCACATAACTGTCGTCTGGACTCTCTGTTGATGTACTTATCTATTCTCTCCCCTTATTATATTCTACTATCCTACTATCTACATCAATAACACACTGTTTTAAACACTATAGCACTAAAGTATCCCAATTCTATCATTCACTGGCCATGTGACCTCAGTAAATCTCTCTCTCTAGTTTCCATTTTACAGTGTTATTTTAATAATTAAGTACATAAAAGACGTAAGTAAATCAGTGTTCTAGCTCCATGCCTCACACAAAATAGGCATCCAATAAATGATCGTTATTAATATCATCATAATACAGGATGAGATTGAGCTATGGGCAAAAATTAACGATAATAATAAGTTATCAAGTATTTAAAAAATACAACAAACATCACTTATCTTTTATTTTTCCCTGTGTGTTCAAGCTGCAGGGAAACTTGTCCCTGTGGGGAGATCATTCAGATTCTGGAAGATGTTCTGTTCTCGTAGGCTAATGATGTGAAGAATGCAAGGAACAAACAGTGGCTTATACAGGGCGCTTTGGAAAGGGGAATAGGTCAATAGCAAAGGGGAGAACTGGCACCTCACTAAGATCCCCATAGGAAGGCCTGATGTCTGCTGTGCACCGTTGCTTAGCAACAGGCAAATGTACAAGGAAGAAGGAAGTCAAAGACATCACAAAATCAGGGAAATTTTACTCTCTCACCCACCCATTTCTTATGTCTGCATTGTGCATAAGTCAAAGAAAAACTGAATATAAGTGTGACTGCCAAAATATAAGTCAGCCAGGTAGTGAAGGGAATACAGCTTAAATATAGGCATAAAAACATAGTGGGTAGCCCAGAGATAAATATACAGGCAAAAGTACGTGTGCTTACAGCTGGATTCCAGACACAACAAAACCATTCTGTTCCACGCAGCAAGGACTTGGAAGTGCTTTGGAGCCTGCATGAAGGAGTATGAGGCAGCCCATGCCTTTAAGAAGTTTAACATTTTCCAGGGAGATGACAAGTATGCAAATAATAGCACCACAAGACAGAATTCATGTCACAGCTGAGAAACACCAACTTATATGTCCCCAAATGTGAGAGCGATCAAAGCTTGGGAAGCATCCAGAAAAGCTTCATCAAAGAGGTGACATTTGATTAACCTATAAAAGTTAAATAGGAAAAGAAAAAGTTAAATAGGATTTTGAACAAGTACCTATGGGAATAAGAAAGTAGATTTCAGGATATCAGGGAGGAAGTTTCAGGTATGCCCAAAGCAATGATAATCCAAATTCACTGAGAAATAGGATTCTACTAGGATGAAAGAGGTGAATGATGAGGTTGTTGCCGACTATGGAGGTCCTTGAGTGCCAAGTGTAAAGGCCTGTGCTTCATTGAATAGGCGCTGAAAGATGACTAGGGTTTGGGTGGAATGATCAGTTATACCTTCAGGAGATTAATCTTGTGATTGTTATGTGGATTGGGGTGGTGGAGAACAGTGTACTGGAGCAAGTGGTGAAGAAGAAATCTAAACAGTCCAGGCGAAAGAGGAGTATAATCTAATTTAAATAGGGAGCTACAGAAATGGGAAGAAGGGGACAGAAGATAGAGAAATTGCAGATGTAAAACTCCAAGACAGGTTACTGATTAGGTTCAAGGGCTCATCAGAGCATGGGAGTGGAAATTAACTCAGGCTATAAGCCTGGTTTACTGCATAGCAGTAATAGAAAAACAGATTCAACTAAGCAGTGAGGGAGCTGATGGGGAGAAGAGGGAAAGGAAGAGGTAGAGGAGGAGGAGGAGATGGAAATGTTTTTAACTTACTAAGTTTGAAGTGCTCATGGTACCATCAGGTGGTAATGTACACTAAGTGGAAGAAAATATAGGTTTAGAGTCTTGAGGAAGATGAAGGCTTTGGTAGTTATCTGTATGAAGGGCATAACTGAAGCTACACAAGTAGATGTAAACACAAAGGAAAGGGATTGGATATCATCTCGAAGGAAGATGAGGGCTGGCTAAGGCAAGAACCAGGGAGCCGGAGGATGAGTGGTTAGTGAGAAGGACACAAAAAGGAGCTGCTAGAGCAGGGAGGAGAACCTAGTGCAGTATCCCAGACACCAAGAGGAAAAGAATGTTTAAGAAGACATGTTGATGGGCAAGTATGGGTGGGGTTTATTTTCTTTTTTTTTTTTTATCTTCTACAGAGATCACATAGTACTTTTGTAAAAATATTTTTTAGTCTTTTTTTATTTCAGAATATTATGGAAGTACATACGTTTTTGTTACATAATTTGCTTTTGTACAGTTTGAGTCAAAGTTATAAGCGTACCCATCACCCAGATAGTGTGCATTGTACCCATTAGGTGTGAGTGAATTTACCCATCTCCTCCTCCCCCTTCCTACCTATTTGATTTCCCTTGAGTTTCACTTCCATATGTGCATATAAGTGTTGATCGATTAGTTCCAATTTAGTATTGAGTACATGTGGTGTTTGTTTTTCCATTCTTGCAATACTTCACTTAGAAGAATGGTCTCCAGTGCCATCCAGGTTGTTACAAAAGATACTAGATTACCTTTTTTATGGCTGAGCAGTACTCCATGGTATACAGCATGGTACTGGCACAAAACAGAGACATAGATCTATGGATCAGAATAGAGAACCCAAATATGAATCCATCCTCATATAGCCATCTGATCTTTGACAAAGAAGACAAAACAAGTGCCGGGGTAAAGAATCCTTATTCAATAAAGGATTCTGGGAGAGCTGGATAGCAACATGTAGAAGGCTGAAACAAGATCTGCACCTCTCACTGCTCACAAAAATTAATTCATGACGGATGACAGACATAAACCTAAAGCATGAAACTATAAGAATTCTAGAAGAAAATGTTGGAAAAACTCTTATAGGTATTAGCCTAGGCAAAGAATTTATGAAGAAGACCCCAAAAGCAATCACAGCAACAACAAAAATAAATAAATGGGACCTGATCAAATTAAAAAACTTCTGCACAGCCAAGGACACAATCAATAGAGTGAATAGACAACCTACAGAATGGGAGAAAATATTTACATGCTGTACATCCAATAAAGGGCTGATAACTAGAATCAACAAAGAACTCAAGCAAATCAGCAAAAAAAAAAAATCAAACAACCCCATTAAAAAGTGGGCAAAAAACACATAGAAATATTTTTAATCAGTTTATTTGAAAGAAATCATTTGTTATCTAGAGATGCAAACACCACAGAGGCAGAGGAGGATAAGGCTGGGATAAAGCCACGTAGTGATTAGGAGATCACATGTGCCCTCGTGGAAACACATTTCAGTAGAACGGGGGAACAGAAGAGGATGGCACCAGGCCACAGGAGGAACCTCAAGTGACTCGTTGGCAGCATGGGCACTTCAGGGGGGAAGACAGATGAGGGGGTATTTTTCAGGAAAGGGGTTTAGAGGCACATTTGTTGAAGAAGGGAAGAACAGTGAAGAGGAAAAGTTTGAAGAGTCATGTAGGGAGTGGGAATCCTTGACTGAGCAGGGGAAAGAAAGGGGGTGAGAGGGGTAGAGCTAAGAGCACAGGTGTTCACCTGGAGAAGCCAAAAGCAGAGATCTGTCTTCTGATGCAGAGGGCTGGGGTGGGGGAATGAGGCTGAGAGATTTTATTTTTTTTATTTCAGCATATTATGGGGGTACAGATGATTAGGTTACGTATGATGCCCTTACCCTCCCTCCCCCCCAAGTCCGAGCTTCAAGTGTGTCCATTCCCCCGGAGGTGCGCATCGCACTCATTGTTTGCGCATGTGCCCGTCCCCTCCTCCCCCATCCCCCTCCCCCTGCCCAACATCTAATACATGTTATTCTTACATGTGCACTTAAATATTGATCAGCTAATACCAATTTGATGGTGAGTACATGTGGTGCTTGTTTTTCCATTCTTGGGTTACCTCGCTTGAGGCTGAGAGATTTTAAAGTGAATCAACGGAAGTTGAGGGATCTCCATCTGAATGGTTTGAGGGATAAGACTGGGCTTAAGGAAAGTTTGAGAAGAGCTGGGAAAATCATAAAGGCAGGCCACATACTCCTCACCAAAGGTCTCAGACAGATGTAAATGAACTTCTCCATGTCAACAAATTCAGTAGGTCCCAATATTAACACAAAAGAAATTATACCCGGACCCATGGACCTTAACAATTACAGAACAGATCAGGCTATCACAGAGAACACGAACCACATATAAATCACAGACCCCAAGCACTTAGGGGGATCTCCAGAGGTTGTCTTAGAATGTGCACATTCCAGACAACACACACTGCCACACGCATGCACCAATCACAACCATGGTCTGTATGGAGAATTCAGACACTGGGAAATCTTCCATGGACGGAAAGAGAATCTTCACAGTAGTAAGTGGCTGGAAAACTATGAAGCGATGAAAAGGGAAAGGAGGTTCACAAGCTGAAGCCAGAGGAAAACCGTGGTTCCAAAAATTTTCTCCAGTGTGATTCGACAGATAAAATATCACATGACATGTCAGGATCCTTGCATCTAGTTCCCAGAAGGATCATTTTAAATGCCAAGAGATCGATCACAGGAAAAGTAAGTTTCCTGATTCTTCAACATATTAAGTCCCAAGGGAACGTGGCCACATCAGCTACACTCTTGCTGAGTATATAAAGTGACCATAGTTCAGGACCTTTGATCTCACCTCGAATCCTATTTCATTGACATTATTCTTCTAATCATTAACTGTAGCTAAGAGGGAGAAAACATTAAATGTGGTAATGTCCCTTTGCATCCATGCCTTCTGCATTGGAGTCTCCTTGAGATTTCTCATCAAGATGCCCTGCACCTTGAGGAACAGTACCTCCCCAGCACGGCTCTCAGCCTGGAGTTGCTGAAGATCAGAATGATAGGGTGGACTGCTGCACACAGGTAAATCACTATTTGCCACACCCAGAACCTAAGAGCCTGAGATGGAAGAACACGTGTGGCACTGAGCACCAGGGACAGGAAATAGGAGATGAAGAGGATGGCAAAAGAGATGAGAGCCAGCAGAGCCTTGATGTGTGCCTGGGCACTAGGCTCTCGAAATCCTGAGATGGTCAAGAGGGCATTCTTCATGTGTCTTCCCAGAGATGTGATGAGCAAAGTCATGCAGATGAGAAAGAAAGCAGTAGGGACTGTCCAAGTAACCATTTTCAGGGGAAAGAGATAGAATTTCTCATATGACCTCCTTATGCTAGTCCCGGTGACATTCCATGGTGGCAGACTGCTCCTTAAATAGTTCTGATATATTCTCTGGTTACCTAAGAAAATTAGGATGGTGCTCAAACTGGAGAACCCCACAGAACTGAGCAGCATCCATGGTACCCACCCAGACAACTTGCGCTTTAGCCAGAGGAAGACAGGGTGGGTGAAGGTTGCAATTTTCACACAGTAGAAGACACTGAGCCAGGTGGAGAGCCATAAGTTGACAGTGTTCAGGAAGTCCCACAGGAAGGTTAGAAACAGGAGTACAGGGCTGTATGGGAAGACCGCTGTATGCAGTAAAATGTAAATGGTCTTACACAACACCACCCACTGCAGACAGAAGCGAGAGGCCGCCAGGCTGACCAATAACTTGTCACAAGGCAACAGTGTTCTCCGTAGCAACCGCTCCCTGCCCAGCACTGCAGTGATGAAGCCATTGCACAGCACCGCCACCAGGCACAAAAATAATGAAATGATGGCCAAGACCATGGCTTTCTTATCAGTCACTGGAGATCCTGGGACCATGTGATCGTCATTCATCTCTCCTGTGGACAAATTGGATCCTGAGGCTTCAAGGACTATTTCTGTCGGGTTGTTCTGGAAGATCCTGTATGAGTTTGTCTTTGCAGCTGCCCCAGTGGAGAGGCTCGGCCAGAGTAGAGGACGCACGCTATCTGAGGAGGGGGAAAAGGTTCCTTCTGCTCAGAATAGATGCAAATATTGTCAAGGCTCAGTTTCCAAAGTCCACATGTCTGCCCATAAATTTGCCTGCTCTTCGGCCTTTTCTCTGCCCATGTCAACATTGGCATGGATAACATATCAGGCCCCTGCATTTGGTGTCCCTTACACAGGAGGTTATACTTCTCTGAGCTGACACCTGAGACACGAGCACACACCTGCTGGCAGCTCAGTGACGATATCCACAGGACACACTCCCTACTGCGGGTCAGAGCTCACATCCATGGCTGGGGTGACTGTTATGCCCCAGGCATTGTTCTGAGTGCTCTCCACAGTACTTAGTTCTCGCAACAACCCTACGAAGCAGGTGCTATGACGTACCCCTTTGACAGAGAGAAAGCTGAGCAAAACCTCTATAGAGAGAGGTTACATCAAGTCTTATGACTCATGGTGACCATCAACATAAAATACAACAGAGCACACAATTATATGTAATCAGGCAGACAAATGTTGTTCGAAATTTTAAAAATTATTTTATAAGTAGTGACTTTTAAAATGGCATTTTGCAGGGGAACCCCAACCGGGATAGCTATAAAACCAGTGGGATATGGCAGAAAGAGCCCTGGACTAGGAGTTAAGATGGCTTTAGTCCAAGCTCCCCCTGACTGCGAGTTGTAGAGTATGTCAGTTGAAGCCCCTCCCTGCTTCATTTTGTCTATCAGTAAAATGTGTAAAAGTATCACCTGTTCTAATTCACAGATTAGAACACAATTCACAATTATCTTAGAATCTCGGTTTTTAGGCTGAAAGAAGACATTAAAGATAATTTTACAGGAAGAAAGAAATGAAGCCCCAAGTTATAGATCAAAACTCCCACCTGAAGTCACATTTATACAGAGGAAAGACCAAGATCCAAACTGATTCCAGGACCAGGGATCTTGCCATGGTTAACAATATAGCCTATACTCCCGTCTTCTTCACCCTTAGCTGGAGTTAGAAGACCAGATTTTAAGTCTTGTCACAATCACTATGAATCCTCGGGTAGTCATTTAACTGCTCTGAACCCCTCTTTCTTCATCTATAAAAAATATGAATGACAAATAAACATGACCACAAATATATGAAAGCACTTTGGAAACTATAAATCTCTGCATATGCATAAGAAGTAATTATGATGATGACAATGACTTCTTAGAATGACTATCTTCCATTCCATTCATCCTGTGGAGTGACACATAGTCCAGGGAGAATTCAGGAGAGCACCAGGGATGCAATGGAAGTCCAGGGCACTAAATGTTGGCCCATCAACATTAACCAGAGAAGGGAGGGGTTAGCAAAGACTACATTCTCCGTAGGAATAAGCTTCAAAGGATCAAAAAAAAATTGGCAATCAACACTCAGGGGCATATAAGTAGGTTAACGTGTCACAGGGAGATAGGTAAGTAGAAATTGTCGGTCAAATATGGCAATGCTGAAGACTCAGGATCAGGTAGCATGAGAGAGGGAGTTTTTAATAGTACACCCATCTCCTGGCCGGCACCATAACCTACCAGTTCCATGCATAGGACCCCCACAAAGGGAGAATAGGATTCACAAAACTCATTGTCTCTTCCCTAGTCCCAGTCCACCCCCAGGTGGAATTGTTTCTCTAACGCAAAGGCCAATTATAGTGAACACCATGCTCCTGTGTAAAGGAAAGAAGGTGAACTAAGGTAACTCATTCACTCCGCCTTTCTATGAAGACTCAAATTTCCAGGGGATAGAGTTCCCAATGTCTCTCTTCCTTGCCCTTGTTCCTCTGGCTGACATTTGGCTGTTTCCTACTGGAACTTGGAGAAATGCAGCAAACTTTGGGGTCATAGCTCTGGAGTTTGGACAGCCACAAAGCCCCTAATATGGAAAATTCGTATCTTTTCATCCACCTCCTACACTTTCAATGGCTCATAAGATGAGAAAGATGTGCATTTAACCTTCAGTTCATTTAACAATAATTTATTATTATTATTATGAGATATTAAGCATATCTCATATGTCATAATAACCCAATGAAAAGCCCTGGGGCTACAGCAGTGAACTAGATATCCACCCTCAAAGTGCTTTCAAACACTAATCATAAACCACTATCATTTACCAGGCATATATAAATATATGAAGATTAAGTTATTTCAAAAGGGTGAATAATCATTTGTGTTTAAATATTCAATGTGTTTTATGGTGATTCTTTTGTTGTTTGTTCTTTTTGTTTGTTGCATTTTTCTTTCTCATATTCAGATTTATCTTCTTGGGTAGAAACCAAGTCTGAGAACTTTTTAAATTTTCATAGCTAGTCTTTATAAATGTAATCATGAGGGTGGCAGGAGAGGAATCACAAGTAGATTCTCTATATGGAGAACCCTCAGAGGGTTAAAAAAGGAGTCACTCCCGGGCTGTGATTCTAAATGTTATGTATCATCTTATTCCCATCCCAGGAATTTTCAGAATAGTTCAGCAGCAGCAGCAGTAGCCTGATCATCACAGCAAAACAAAGATGTTGTCTTGTATGTTGGAAGGAAGAAGACAAGGCATCAGTAAACGAGAAGGAAACGTGATTATGTCCAGAATGATTAGATACGTTTGGCTACAGCAGAGAATTCACATGGAATGGTGGCATATTTGGCCAAAAAGTTAGGTTGGAGAGAGATCATAGAAAGCTTTGAAAGTCAGGATGAAATATTGGATTGTATCTTTTTTTTTTTTTGAGACAGAGTCTCACTCTGTTGCCCAGGCTAGAGTGCCGTGGTGTCAGCCTAGCTCACAGCAACCTCAAACTCCTGGGCTCAAGCGATCCTTCTGCCTCAGCCTCCCGAGTAGCTGGGACTACAGGCATGCGCCACCATGCCCGACTAATTTTGTCTATATATTTTTAGTTGTCTGATTAATTTCTTTCTATTTTTAGTAGAGACGGGGTCTCGCCCTTGCTCAGGCTGGTTTCGAACTCCTGAGCTCAAACGATCCGCCCTCCTCGGCCTCCCAGAGTGCTAGGATTACAGGCGTGAGCCACCGTGCCCGGCCTGGATTGTATCTTTAGTCAAGATGAACCCATAGAGTGTTTTAAGATTCTTATGAGCTAGAGTTTAGGAAAGGAGGTTGAGAACATCAACCAATTAAGAACTCCTGAGCTAAGCCCACTAGATCTGAGATAACTCAAAAGGCTGTGAAAATGTGGCAAAACATGAGTTGCATCACCATCTCCTACCCACCCAAAGACCTTCAGTAAAGTTCTGGAGCTCAGTCCAAGGGAAAAGCAGTCTTCCAGATGTCCATGGTTGAGTAGAAGGGATATACGAAACAGACACCCTTGGTGTTCCTGCCTTCTCTGCCTCTACCCAACCCTTTGTGGCTTGAGTCCCCAAGGCCCAGTCCTCATAGTTTATTATTGCCATCCCTGTAGGAAGTCATTAGCTCACTCACGTGGCTGCAAAAAAATCCCACTCTTTATGATTGATGATGAGGCTGATATGTGCTCTCTAGGTGTGATAATTCACAGCTAGACTTTAAGGCGTCTATAAATTAATTTAAACTCTGAACATAGTTCGAGCTTCCCAGGGGTTCCTCTATCCTGCCTCACCCTTTCGCCATTCTCTGGGGAAATCCCCTGTGTTCCTCACCAGCAATTTGAGACTCTCCTCTTTTAAAGCCTCAATCATCATCTTCCAAGAGAAAACTCCTCACCTCTGTCCCTCAATCTTGCCCCAGTTTGGCCTCCAGCTACCATTGTAACATAATGTTTAGGGGCTTCAGCTTCCCAGGATGGTTGGCCAATTTACCATAAATGCAATTACTTATTTGAGAATTCCTTGTAACCTCTGTTCTTTCCTGTTATTCATTACTCCTGTTTTGACTAGTTCAAATACATGAATTTCTCTTAACCATGTCTGGTGTTTTCCCCAATCTCTTCTAGTCTAATGGCCGCCATACTTTTTTATAGTAAACTTTTTCAGTAAAAAAAAAAAAATTATGATCATGCATCCTACCTGCTATGGACTGAATGTTTGCATCCTCCCAAAATTTTAAAATCCTAATCCCCAGTGTGACTGTATTTATAGATGAGGTTGGGGGAGGTCATTAGTTCATGAAGGTGGAGCCCTCATGAATGGGACTAGTGCCCTTATAAGATGGAAAACAAGACAGATGATCTCTCTTCACCATGAGAGGGCACAGCAAGAAGGTGTCTGTTTACAACCTGGCAGAGGATTCTCACCGGAATCCAGCCATGCTGGCACCCTCAGTTTCAGGCTCCAGAACTGTGAGAAATAAATGTCTGTTGTTTAAGTCACACAGTCTATGGTGTTCTGTTATAGCAACCTGAGCTAACTAAGACACTACCACATGCAAATTTATTTTTAATTATATGCATTATACTTTACTAATACATTATATAAATCACAAAATACACTAAAAAATAGTAATAAAAGGAGGAGATAAAAATAAATGGAAATTGAAGTTGCCACATTTTTCTTCCCACACCTAGTGGGTCATCTTTCACAAGCCCTGGGATGCAAACAATTTGAATATTACCATCCTAGACAACAGCAGCCAGGATCCACCTCCTGGGTGTGTGAACAGGAAGAGAAGAATGATCAAAATTAGGACTTGTAGAGAATTTCCTTCGTTTTCCATCTATCTTCTGTTGGCCAAAACCTAAAAGCATTTCCACATCAGACAGTTCCTTTTACTGCAACATATAGCAAACACGTGAAGTCATGAGACCTGTGGTGGCACGAAACTCAAGTATGTTCTCACCCTTCCATGGAATCAAGCTGGAAAAGCTCCATGAGTGGCATCAATCTTAAGTAGGGCACAAAAGAATGACAAAGATAGGC